GGTTTTGTAGGATATGTTTTGCCACGTAATCAGTCATCTATAAAATGCTAGTAACATACTCTGAGAGGTACATGCTACTCATGAAGAGTTTCAGCTGGTTTGGAACCAGTTCCTTCCTTGGTGCTTAGAACTCTAAGAGAAATCGGTGGGAAGTCTACGTGTCTAAGGCTTTCAAGGATGAGACTCTTAAATATTAAAGCCGTGGCTGTCTTCTGGCAGATAGTGAAAAGAGCTGAATGAAAGCTCTGCTTGCTTTTAAAGCCTTCAGATAAACCTGTACCTGTTCCCCTTCGTCTCTTTCCACATGGTTGCGCAGGACCAGATCTTCTGCTGATTATGTCTGCTTTTAATTGTTTTGCACTATCAAAGTGATTTCTAGGAGCAAGCTCATACTTTGGTTATACAATTGGAGGTGTATAAGACTTTAGAAGTGTAATCAAAGCACAACATTTTAACTGATAATAACCACTGATTCTTCTATGTTTTATTCTTTAATTCAGCCATCTGTTGTTGTCTAGATTTGGTAACACAGGAAGGATGTAAGACTAAGATATGTTGATTGAAAGAGCAAAAAAGACTACTTACGAGAACTTGCTGTATTTTAGGACAATATACTCTCAGGTGCTTCTTATATTTTGTACCATTCATGCCAGTACAGTGCAGAAGACATATGCACCCCTTCCTTCAAAGATGAAAATGGTAGAGCCGTAGTATTTCTTGTAGTATATGTGAAAGTTGAAGGGATGAAATACGAATCTGACCAAAAATTAATGGATGTATTTTTGGTGGTTCTGGAAATTGTTCTGGATAGCTAATTAGCTGATGCTAATGAAGAAAATATTCCCTCTCTTTTTGAGAGTTTCAAGATTCACCTTTAGTTCCCCTGTCACATAATGGTATATTGTAAATCATGATAATTGTCGACAAACGTAAAGCTCAGTTGTCTGTGGGAATGTCTTCTAAGCCCTGAAAAAAGTCTGCAAATTTTGATGCAAATCTTATACAAGCTTATATAAAGCAGACTATTTTGAGGTAGCTAAATGTGTTTAGGTGCTTCACTTTAAAAACTGAGTATTAAGTTAGTAATATGTGGTCCTGTAGGAAGCTTTAATTTTCTTCTTCAACATATGTTATCTCAGACATGAAAACTGAACTTTTAGAGAGGAAAAAAATCTAACTTAAGTATTTATATTTCTAAAAGCAGAAACAGTGACAATGTTTCTATTCCATATCCTTTTTAATGGGTAAACAAGGAACTAGTAATTTCCCTTTGACTTCTCCACAGATCTTTAAAACAGTTAATCATTGTGACTTCCTTGAATCTTTGTTGAAGTTGTCTAACTCTTGCTCTCTCTAGTTTAATCTTCAAAGAATGAAACAGTAGAGAGGAAGACCAGCTATGACTTCCAGATGTAGGTCTGTTTCTTCTAGCATCTTCTTGGGGAGTCCCAAAAGACTCCTTGACTTCTTTTTGCTATGACTCTAGGTATTCACAAGACTTATGTTGGCTTTTTGGGTTCTGGCACTTCAGCCTGTTTATCTTAGCTCTAAAAAACCCAAACTGTAGTCATCTTCAAAATCAGAATGTGTCAGCTTTGAGTAGTTTACCCATTGAGATATAATTAACATTATCTTAAGAAGTCAAATGTGTCTTCAGAAGAACCAGTGCTGTTCTTCCAATGATTTTCTTCAAATAAAAGACAAAATCTTACAATGTCTTTTATATCTCCGTAACAGCTTATCTATAAAATCTAAATTTGAATAAAAGGAGTATTATCAACATTTTTTAAATGATGATTTTTGTGTCTCAGTGACATCAACTAGAAAAATAACTTCCATTGCTCTGATGTTTAAATATATCTTTTATATAACAAATCAACTCATATCTATTTAAATTATGTTTTATTTTCACACTGAAGACAAATCTACTGATTTTGATACAAAATAGGAATGTGAGTAGGCTTCAGGCTTCTTATCTTGGAACAAAAGTGAACTTTTCCTAATGTAAAAATAAGTAGGTCTTTACTATACACAAGTTTAGGAAAAATACCAACAAAATGATTCATTAAGCTATTTTTATCATACTGTTTATGATAGTTAAACTCATTTGCTATGCTTTTAATGTTTTTTTTTAAGTTTATCATATAGTTATAAAAATGATAATGAACTACAAAACAACATGCAAATTTTCGAACACAATCAAAGTTATTATTTTTTTAAAGTAATTTTTACATACCATTTTTTCCACAACTTTGGTAATGATTCATACAAAATTCTTTCAATTCTTGTAGTTTGAAAACAGATCTTATAAAATGGTAGCATTTCAAGTTAGGAATTTGGTTAATAAAACAGTATATAATATAAATAACAAATTAAGACAATTATAGTTACTTAGTCAGTTACTAGGAGCAATGAGTGTGTGCTTATTTAAAAAAATCAGAGATTTACTCATTTTAGTTGTATATTGTGTAGTCTGCTGTGACTCTAAATCAGATCTTCCAGACCTCAAGAAATAATTCATACATGTGTTTTTCTGCCTTATCGTCAGGAACAAACATTTCCTAAATAGATAATGCCTTTTTATAGTGAAGTGGAATTGGTGCTTTGTCACTTAAAATTGTATGAGGGTAAAAGAGTTTTACTTCTCAGAAATTTCATTTAAATATTGTTAATTGAATTGGAATTGGGAGTAAGACCTCATGAAAACACTTATTTGGTAAAGTTTGTGATAAGTCATAGGGTAGAGCTGGGTTACTGGGCTCATTTATGGCTTTGAGTGTGACAGCCCTTTTGTGTGGAGTAGTGCAATCAACTTGATTGTAGAAGGCGACCAAAGGAAGACTTTTGCCTGTTTTAGTATCACTCACCTGTAATTTGCTGTTGACCTTCGTTTACAGATTTGGTTCATGGGTGTCTTCTCTTAGGCTTTGAAGAAGGGTGGTTCTATTCCTCAAAATCAAAGACAAAAGCATTCAGGCTTCACTATGGCTATATTGGGTAGTAAGCGTCAAAGAGAGTCTTTGCAGGCGTGAACTTGTTTTTTAAAGACCTAAAAGTCGTGGGTAGGTTGTGCATTATGCCATGGCACCCCACTTGTGATTTTTATGCTGTTGTCAGACCCTTCCATACTCATATCACAGCAGTGATTTGAGAACAGTGCATCATCATCATAGGTATTTAAATTAAGCCATTAAAGTTTTCTCACATAGTGGCATTTTTTTGGTGGGTGAATATATTAGAAACACTCCATTTAAATTAGATAATTTTTGTCTATAATGTTTTTATCAGTTTTATGTGTATTCATGGTATGTTTATTTTTATTGTAAATCACGAAGAAAATTTCAAAGAAAAACAGAAGACACTTGATGTGGTTCTGTGAGCTGGAATAAGACAATATTCTTTTTCTACAACTGTTTTTCTTGTAGTTGTGAACATATGACACTTTTGTTTGTATTAAAGAAAATCAAAAATCCCAAACCAATCAAAGAAATTATCAAGCTTATAATTTTAATAATGACCTCAGCTCAGGACATTAAGTTGGGAATTAATGATCAGATAAGGTTAATGACTCAAGGCATTGAGTCATTAAACTCCAAGAAAATGCCCTGTACTTTGATTGTTTTTGGTTTATTAAAGGTAGGTTGTAGAAGTTGCAAAAAAAAAGGGTAGTTCCAAACACAAGAGGAACGAATATGAGCAGAAAACAGAGGTATTTTGTTATCTGCCTCTGTCTGCAGTCCCAGGATAGCTAAAAATGTCATTATCCTTGATTAGAGTTTTGTTAGTGGGAGGACCTAAGGAGCAAAACCTTTCACAGCCACTTTTCTTTTGTTTCATGTTTTGAAACAAATGAAGAATCTCAAGTGTTTGGCAAAGCGTAGGTTAACACTGCAGTGCTAGAACCGCACATCACCTTTTTCTGTGAAGTTATTCCACAATGTCCCCTAAATAAGCAGTTACAGGATATTGCAATAGTGCTGTGCTGTGATCTGTACATAAGAATACAAGCCTTTGGATATGCATTGTATGTAGCAGGTACATATTTGCATGTAAGTGGGTAATAAGTATTTTCATTGTAATCCGTATCTAATTTGTATGCTACTTACACAGTCCAGGAGATGGAAAGTTGTGTATGTGAGCATTTAACAGACAAGGAGTGCTTAAACCTGAAGCCCTTTATTTTTCTATACTGGACAGATGTAAGCTGCTGTGATGGCAGTTGCTCAACAATATCTTACAAATAATTCTAAGTCCTTTCTGACATAAAGTAGTATATTTAAAGTAAGGTGTCTTAGTGAGATTTTCACTTTAAATAGAATAAGGGTTAAACGATAACTTGACTTATCTTTTAAATGACAAAAAATAAAGAAATTGCAAGACCTTTTCACACATTAGATATGTATTGTCATTTATCATCTAGATATCAGGCTAGCAGTGCGAAGTAATAAAACATATCATCGAAAAATGTGCTATAGGTCTGAATCACTCTTTCATTCCACCTCCCAGCTAACTGTAGTATTAAATCAAACAAGCAGAACATTTCCTTAGGCAGCCATTGCCTTTTAATTTCCTGAAGAACCTTAAAATATCATTCATTACAAGTACTACACATATTTGGTTTTTAAAAGTCTCATAAATCAATAGCAGGCTGACTGTAATAATTATTACAAGTTAGTGCATAATTTTCGTGCTGAAGGCTGCATGCAGAACTTTAGCATATGCAAACGAGGCAATTCAAACTGTGTATAGATATTAATATGAAGAAGCAGGTAACGAGGTGCAGGCTATGAATTATGCATCAAGAGCGGCTGATCTTCAATGAGGAAAATGAATTCAGCATGTAATCTAATTAGTGATGGAAGTCTATTACATCTAACTGCAAAAGCAACCGTCCTTGAAACAAATTTATTTACAGTCCATGTTACCACTTGAAACAACTTTGAAATGATGTGTAAGACAACAGCTTAATTGTAAAAATTTTTTTTGTTTGTTTGTTTCAGTTCTAGACCTGGAAGGCCTCCTAAGAGGACTCAAAGTGTCACCTCCCCAGAGAATTCTCATATCATGCCACATTCTGTCCCTGGCCTAATGTCTCCTGGAATCATCCCGCCAACAGGTAGGATCACTAGAAACACTTTCACACGGGCAATCTTTTGGCTTATATCCACTTGTTAATAAATTAACAGTCTAGGAAACCAACACCCAAGTATCACAAAGGAGTTCCTGTAATGTAACATTATTGCTACATAAATGTATTGTATGTAATGGAAATTGTGGCAGCTCAGTACTTTAAAATACAAATAACTGAGCAAATAATAATAGTTTGCAATTTTTTCTGCTGTTCTTTTTCTTTGTAAACAAAAACCTTTCAAAGCATGAATTACCTATCATTAGACAATAATCACGCTATTCATTTTTAATAGATCAGATATCTTGTGATTTTTTTGCTGCTCTGCTTGATTAGATAATGTCATCATGAATATAGCTGCCTGAAGAAACTGAGTTAGTTAAAATAACTCCATGCTGCACACGTCTTTCTTAATTTTTCATTCTGAAATTCTATTTTTGATACGTCTCCTGAGGCCTTACATTAACGTAAAGTCCTGTAACAGTCTGTTTCTCAAACTGCTATTTTCTTTTGAAAGTTACTATAACATCTCCTAGTAGTGGCTTGCTCTTAGACATGGTTAAATTAAGAAAGACTGTGTTGCAGGAAGATGTATTACCAACCACCTGAAGACGAAGACACCCAACAGTCAAGCTGTTGATGGTGGTGCCACATTCTCTCTCTTCATAGAATCATAGAATCATTTGATTGGAAGAGACCCTCAAGATCATCGAGTCCAACCATTCACCCTGCATTGTCAGGGTCCCTAAACCATGTTCCTCAGATGTTACAGATGACTTAAATTCTCCCACTTGCTTCAGCAAAGCTCACCTGAGCTTCCACTTCTTCCCCAGTTGTTCTCCACTTGTTGGAATGACTCAGTCTCTAGCACTGATTTTCTTTAAGGCAAAAGAAACATGTGCCCCTGATCATATGCCTGTTAAAGTATGAGCATGATCCTTGGCCTGGTTTTGGTCATAGATGACTAACATTCTCCAAAAAGAATGCACAGTTCAGGAAATAATCACATGCCAGAAAAGGTTGGCAGTTTGGATGCAAATGTCTTGTCTGGAGGAGGGAGGAAAGTGCAGAGAGTTTAGCTCTGTGGACAAAAGTAGGGCCATGCCTTAGGGCTCAAGAGCTGCCTTACATAGTGAGACAGACACATAGCCAGAAATATTTTATTAGCAGTTTACAGTTTTTCAAAAGGCAAAAGATCAAGAGGAGTGAAAAAATGAAGAGAAGTTGGACAACTAAGGTTGTGCATAGAAGTATGCCTATAACGTACACAGAGGGAAGGAGGGATGAGACTGAAAGTGTAGGCAAGCATGGGAGGGTGTCAGGCAAGTAGGACTCACAGTGATAGTCTGGGCAAGTGTGACCAGCAAAAAAAAAAAAAAAAAGAATCGGGATTAAAATATTTTACACAATAGGATTTACAGGATAAAATCTAGTAAAGGAAATATCGAGTTGTGCAGATTGAATGCAAGGTGAGAGTAATAGATAGGGTGTATGTGGGGAAAGAATGAAGAATGGAAGTGTTTATAGGGCAGAAGCGTTTGTGTTTATGAAAAAGAGATCAAAAATACAGATGAAAGGGAAATTATTTTAGGGAAGTAAGGCAAGAAAATATCAAAGAAAAAAATGTATGTGAAAAGTAAAAAGGAAATGACATTAAAGAGGTCAGAGACAAATAAGCAGGCCAAAAAGAGGGAGACAGGAAAAAAAAAAACCTTGTCAACAATATTGTGTGGGGTTTTGAGTTACAGTTAATATATAAGAGCAGATTACCTCTTGATATAATATCTTCTGGGTTTTTTTAGCATTTTTTTTTATTCTAAGAAAGCAGCTTAAAACCACAACTAAGGCCTAAAGTATCTGATTCCTCTCTAGTCCTTTAAAGCTGGTCATAACAAGTTAATGATAAAAATATATGGTACTAAAACCACAGATCAAGTTTCTTAGAATATCAGCCCACAAAAACAGATGTAGATCTTTTTAAAATGATGATTGAAAAAGGAAGAAAATAATTCAAAATTACAGAAAATAGGCATATGTAAGATTCATTGAATCCTTTTAGGATGGTAATGCTTTGTGAGTCTCTTGCAAAAGAAGAAAGGTTTAAATGAAAATGCTGTTAAGTTTGAACTGGTTTTACATTACATGGCTTACCACAAGAGAAAGGGTGAGCAGAACTTTTTCCTATTGTGGTGGTGTTGAGTCTCAAACAGCACAAAAAATGCAAACACTGACACTGTTAGAAGCAAGCTCCAGGGTATAGCGTTCCACGGAGTATGGCTCAAAAAAGGTAAGGAGCATCATGACAGCAGCGCTACATGACAGTCATTCCAGCATTTTATAGAGAGGCAGGTATAAAAATAGGCTTAGAATCTGATCTTTTGAGTTCAAATCAATGAACGTTTTTACATGTACAATGTGAGTAAGTACCAGAACTCCTGTAAGAGCCTTACCGAGAAAGAACTGCTGTAAGTGAAATAGGTGACATAAGTGCCGTTGTTATGTGCTACCACATTAGTTAATACTAGAAAATTCTTGCCTCTTGTGAACATTTTCCTCTGTATTTTCTATGTGTGTTCATAGAACCACAGAATAGTTGAGATTGGCAGGCACCACTGGAGATCATCTAGTCCAACCTCCTCTGATCAAAATAGAGTCATACAGAGCAGGTTGTTCAGGGCTGCATCCAGTTGGGTTTTGAGTATCTTTAAGGATGGAGACTTCACAATGTCTCTTTGCAACCTGTTCCAGTGTTTGAGTATTCCCAAAATAAAATATTTTTTCCATACTTTTGAATGGAATTTCCTGTATTTCAGTTTGTGTCTATTCGGAAAGACTGAGAGGAGTCTAGCTCCATCTTCTTTACTTTGCCTCCATGGGGTATTCATACACATTGATAAGATCTTGCCTTTGAACAGTCCCAGCTCTCTCAGCCTCTTTTCATATCAGGTGCTCCAGTCCCTTAATCATCTTTGTGGCTCTAAGATGACTGTTTGAGAAGTTTATGAAGTTTGAATTTCCTGTTAGGATCCAGCTCTAAGCAGAATAGAATCTAAGTACCAAATTGTTAAGTGTTCTCCCCCACCCTTCTCTCTCTTTTTTTTTTTGTAACAAATTCTTCTTTTTAAGCTTTCTGATTGATTTAATAATCTGAGTATAATAACTAAGTTTCCTTCCTGCCTACGAAAGAGTATAAGTGATCACACAAACAATTATGTGCGATTTAATGCTCTTTAAGTAACAGAGATCTGCATATATTAGGTATATCTAGGATACACAATGCTATGTTTTAACGTATGATTTTTGCTTGAAATTTTTCTTTTTTTCTGAAATCTGCTGCATAATACAGAAATATACATTTAAAAGTGGAAATCCTGGTTTCTGAAGGGGCTGGTTCTGCGTGCGTTGTTTATGTGGGCAAATAATATTGATGCAAAACTGTATGCTGAGACTTCTCATGAAATCTGAGGATTGTATATTTTTGTAGGAGGCCAAGTTAAGGAACTCTTGAAAATGTATTCTCTTGCTGATCCAATCTGAAAACCCATGTAGTGAATGTTGCGTCATCACTTAGAATGGATTTGCTTTAGAGGAGTATTTAGGGACTAAGATGAGATTTAGGCACTATATTGAGAAGGAAAGTAAAAGGAGAAAAAGGAATAATATTCCACTTTTTTTTAGGGAGCATAAGTTGAAGCAGTGAGGATCACCTCTTCGGTGACACTCTGTCCATTTGTCACAAAATTTGTAAATATTACCCTCAATTGCTGATCTGTCCACTGTCTTTCATTAGGGTCAATTTACAGAATGCTCCCAACTTTAGGAAAGACTGGTCAGCTGACAAAAGATAGTCATGTTTATTAAACTAAATGTAGGACCTTTGAAGGTGGATGAGAAATGAGAAATGTATAGTAACATGAAATTAAGAGCTACTTGAATTGTCCAGACAATTAAAATCTGCCTATGTTACAAATGATGTAGTCAGAAGAAAGGAGAGTTTGGTGTAGGTTCAAACAGGTATATTGACTTTTCAGGCTTGTCTGGATAACGCCTTGAAGCCCTTCCAAAACTAGATCGCTCATCATAGTTAACTTTGATCTGCATATCTCTGTGTACTGCAGATCTTTTCTTGGCTAATGTGCTTAGAAGGCTTCAAAAGTTTTCTAAAGTTAAAACGATGGATAATTGTAATTAATGAGAAAAGCAGTGCTGTAATTCCTGAGTAGAGTTTATGATGTACATTATGCTCTATATTTTTTTTGTCTGTAGTTGCTATATAACATATAAAATGCTATTTCCGTTATTTTTCATATAAACTTTGAAAAGCAATTCTCTTTTTTTTTTTTTTTTTTGGTAATTATTCTTGGGTATTTTAGGTTTTGAAACTGTTTTGTAAAGCTCTTGACTTAATTCTTCTGCAGCTTGGCCTACTGAGTGTAAGGTGATGAAATGAGTAGCTACAAACTCTTGTACTTACTTTGGCAGCTGCACCTTTCTCTCAAAGATAAAATATGAATATAAAGTGCTTTTGGAAATCACTGTTATAGGGCACAATAAGAATACTACTTCATATATCTATCTTTATATGTAAAGATACATCTTTGTCAATTAAAAAGAAGTGATTTCAAAGCACTTATGTGTTTAATTTATTACATTAATTTTACATTAAATTAATCTCAGTAATTATTGCTGCTATTATTATTATTATTTTGAACAGATTTACTTTATGATAGGTACCTCTGTCCACCTATTCCGCATCTGGTACCAGACTCTTCTTTTCCAGTATAGAGATATTAAGCTTCCTCTGAAATGTTTCATGTGTACGAAACTACTTTCCTTTATTAAAATCCTGTTCTGTTTTTTCTCTTCTTAAGTGAAAATCTCAAGATGTAATTTCTACTCTCATCCTTATGTTCTCTCTTGCTGCGTGCCTCAGTCAATAGAAGTATATTCCAACTTCCATCCTCTATAAAACTCTCTGAGTCACGAAG